CTCTCACGCTCTGGGGTGCCCAGGCTCAGTGTTCCCTGTCCTGGGTCCTGAGGGTTCACCCCTGGGGGCGCTTGGGGGAGCCGAGAGGGGGCGCATCAGGTTTGTCTCAGATCTGTCCGGAGAAGGGCAGATGCTGCAGAAAAGGCACAGGGCGGCCTGGCTGATGTCATTACCTCCGGGAGCTGCCCGGCCACGGCTGCACTGGGCCAGGGTCTCTGGGCCCCTCAGATGTTCCCGCGAGAAAGGAGAGATCTCCTGGGACATGGGCGGGGAGACGGAAGGCCAAGTGCGGCTGGTCTGGGCTTTGTTGAAGGAGTGACCTTGGGCAGGTCGGGCCTAGAAAGATGGATCATAGAATAATCTGACCTCTCGGGCCGGTCGGCCCCGATCAGGGCGACCAGCTGTCCTAGTTTGCCTGGGACTGGGATATCCCAGGACAGGGAGCTTTTGGCAGTAAAACCACGAGAGTTTTGGGCAAACTAAGATGAGGTGGTGACTCTAGAGCTACTGTTCTCATTCTTTTTAACTGGGAAATACACACAATGTAAAACTAACCTCCTTAACCACCGCTAAGGACACAGCTCGGCGGCATTGAGCACACGCACATTGCTGAGCCACCGTCTCCACTATCCGTCTCCAGAACTTTCTCACTTTCCCAAACTGACCCTCTGTCCCCATCACACACTCGCTCCCCTCCCTTCCCCCAGCCCCCGGCTCCCCCATCTACTTCCTGTCTCTGTGAATCTGACTCCTCTGGGGACCCCCTGTGAGTGGAATCACACAGTATTTGTCCTTTTGTGTCTGGCTTATTCACTGAGCACAGTGTCCTCAGGGACCATCCACGTCGTAGTGGGCATCGGAATGTCCCTCCTCTTCATGGCTGAGTAATACTCCGCTGTGTGGCTGGACACTGGGGTGTTCCCGCCTTTCGGCTCCTGTGAATAACGCTGCCGTGGACGTGGGTGTGCACGCATCTGTTCGAGACGTGCCTTTTGCTTTTTAAAATTCCATCCAGACGTGGAATTGTTGGGTATGTAGTAATTCTATCATTTGGGGAGAAACCTCCAAACTCTTCCACAGTGGCTGCCCTGTTCTTCACTCCCGTCATCAGCGAGGGTTCCCATTTTTCCACGTCCTTGCTGGCACTGGTTATCTTCTGTTATTGTTGTTTTTTCAAGTTGGTCACCCTGTCGCTACTGTTTTCATAATGATCGAGTCGTCTGGGTAGTCAGGGCCACGGCTACCCCGTGACCCACCTCTCCCATGTCCCTGTCCCGTCCTGCACTATTTTGGGCCCAGTGACTGGCAGCTCAGCTTCATGCCTGTGGCAAAGGGCAAGCTCTGGCAGGCCCACCCGGTGCTGTCTTCTGGTCCTGCAGGAGCTCCCACCTGCCCTTGGGACGCAGCAACCTCAGCCGCAGGCCTCCCCTAAGGCTGCCTGTCCCCACCACCCTCTGCCCCAGACCCTGCACACACCACGCCACAAGGCTGGTCAGCAAACATTTCCTGCAAGGGGGCAGGAAGTAAACGTGTTTGGCTTTGCAGACTACAGGGTCTCTGCCAGCTACTCAGCTCTGCTGTCATAGCAAGAAAGCAGCCTCGGACGACACATATGGGCATGGCTTTGTGCCAATAAAACTTTATTTATAGACACCGAAATTTGAATTCCACCTGATTTTGCATGTGTCACGAAATTTAATCCTTGCTCTTTTTCCCCCTGCCAATCTTTGAAAAATGTGAAGCCGTCCTCAGCTTGAGGGCTGTACAAAAACACGCAGTGGTCTGGATTTGGCCCACGAGCGGATTTGTCAACCCATGTGCCACACACCCGAGGGACGTTTGGCGACCGAACTAACATTTAGCGTCCCACTAAAACAAGTGCCCAGTTCATCTGCATGACAGAAACATGCTGTTAATGCATTTTCGATTAAAGTCACAAATGTTGAAAAGGCCACCGAATTAAGTAAAGTCACACTGGATTTTTTTTTATTCAGTCCTAAAGGATTTTTAGACAGCTTTATTGAGACGATATTAACATACCGCATAATCCACCCATTGAATGTGTTTCAATTTTTGAAATCTAATCAGAAGGCTGTGCAACCGCTAACTGCAATTGTATTACTTTTTATTTTTTTTTATTTTTTTGCGCCCCCCCCCATAACTGCAATCAATTTTAGACTATTTTATCCTTCCCCCAAAGGAAGTCTCGGCCTCATCAACAGTCACTGCCCGCTCTCCGCTCCCCCAGCCCCTGGCAAACACCCGTCCGCTTTGTCTCCGAGGATCTGCAGGCCGGTACCCTCTGAGGGGCCACTCTCCTTGGCTTGCAGTCGGGCATCTTCTCCTTGTCCCCACAGAGTCCTTCCTTTGCGTGCGTGTGCCCTGGCGTCCCTCGGTGTACCCACAATTTTTTCCTCTTACACAGACCCTAGTCATATTGGATTAAGGCCCCCGCCACGACCCCTTTTCAGCTCGATCACCCCAGACGCAGTCACATCCTGAGGCCTTGGGGGTCAAGGCTTCGACATGTGAGTTTGGGGGCACAGGAGGCAGCCTGCGATGGTGTCTTTGTTTTTGTTTTTGTTTGTTTGAAGGGAGGAGAGACTATTCAGATCGTGCTGTAATAAACAAGGACATGAGATTCAACGTTAGGGACACTGTTGCGGGCGGCCGAGCGCGGACTGGGACACGGCCCGCCTGCCCTCCGGCCTGCAGGGTCTTTGGCCCTCCTCCGGGGTCCCCATGCAGCCGGGCTCAGTGTTAACGCTGAGAAAGTCCTCTGCGAATTGGGACAAGGTGGCCACCGTGCTAGTGTCCCGGACGGGGACTTCAGGTCGGGGAAAAGGGCCCACGAGTTCTTTGCTGAAATAAGGACCAGGGAGAAGCCCCAGGCCCAGAGCACGTGGCTACTCCCGGCTCCGCTGCCGGTGGCTGTGCCGCCGTCCATGTCTCTGCTGGGGCCCGGGGCCACAGGAGCGAAGCGGGGCGGGCCGCGGTGACTGCTACGCGGGGTGATTTCTGATCACAGGCTGCGTTCAGAGGGGACAGCCGCCCAGTGACCAGCCAGTTCGAAGGCTCCTTGGCGGGGGCACGAGAGGTGAGCAGCAGACTGGAATCCCAACCCCAGGGCAGGGCAGGGCTCAGGGGACCGCTGCCCGCACGTTCCAGTTCCGTGGCAGAGGGCTGGGGGCCTTCGCGGTCACAGAGAGGGCTGTCGCACACGGAGAGGTGAGGGGTCTGGGCCGCACGGCGAGTGAGGGGCAAGGCTCTGCACCCCCACACTCCCTGCCCTGTAGCGTTTTCCCAGTGACTGCAAATAGGGCAAGAAAGCCTGTGGGACCTTCACCCCACCTGTGACCACGTGTCGCCTGCAAATGCTGGCCTGTGGCTGATGCCCCTCCCCAGAATCACCCGGTGCCTGGGCCTGACCCTCCCTCCCTCCCTCCCTCCCTCCTTCTCTCTTTTTCTTTTTATGGAGGTGAAACATTAAATTAACCGTTTTGAAGTCAGCAGCTCGGTGGCATTTAGTGCATTCCCAGTGCCGTGCAGCCGTCACCTCTGTCCCATCGCAGAACCTTCCCCCACCCCCAACAGAAACCCCATCCCCATCAGCAGTCGCGCCCCCATTCCCCTCCCCAGCCCGTGGCAACCACGAACCTACTCTCTGTCACCGTGGACGTGCCTGTTCTGGACGTACATGGACTCGCACGCCGTGTGGCCTTGCGTGTCCGGCGTCTCTCACGGAGCATCATGGTTTCCAGGCCACACACCACGTCGTGGGGAGTGTCAGCGCCTCCCCCCTTTTCCCGGCCGAGTGACACTCCCCCGTGTGGACGGATGTGCCGTGTGCATCCATGCGGCCGTCCGTGGGCGCTCGGTGGCTTCCACCCCTTGGCCGCTGTGAATATGCCGCTGTGGACATTCAGGGACGAGTTTTGTTTGCACACCTGTTTTCAGTTCTTTTGGGGTGTATTCCTAGGATTTGGGGGGTGTATTCCTGGGAGTGCAATTGCTGGGGTACATGGCGATTTGTTCTCTTATTCCTTTTTCTGACTTCCAAAAGTTCACCGGCTTTGTCCAAACCCGGCCAGACTGCAGATGTTTTGTGCCTTTCTGGACGGAGCGGGTTTGGAGGCAGTGGCTCGGCAGCTGGCTATGGGGTGTCGGTCCAGGGGTACCCCGTTCCCCACTCCCCTAGCCCTGAGCTCTGGTCTCCACCAGACTTTCCAGACTCCCTTGGGCAAAGAGAACAGGTCCAGGGAGGCTCGGGTTCAAATCCCAGCTCGGCTAGGCCACCGACCGCCTCCGAGCCTCAGTCTCCCCGCCCTTGAAATGGGTGTGAATGATAAACCATCTCTCCTGGGTTTCGGCGAGGGCCCAGAGAAGCGTGGTTCCTAGGACAGGAATTGTGTCCTTTACGAGCGCCCTGGGTCACGAAAGCTTCCCAGTAACCCCACGTGATGGGTGCCAGCTCCGACCACAGAGAAGGCGCCGAGGCCTGGTGGGGACGGGCGCAGGCAGGAGCCGGGCACCCTCAGGAGTGGCTGGCGCCCCTGCTCTGGGCCGTGTCGTGCTGTCTGTTCAAAACTGGCAGGGAATTTCCCCTCTGGGGAAACTGAGGCCCCGAGGACCCCCAAGCAGCCCCTGGGGTCACGTCGGTGTGTGTCAAATGGGTGTAGACTAGTGCTATTAGTGCCACCCCCAGAGGCCACCAAAAAACCAAGGAGAGGGGACAGACGGGTCCCTTTCAACACCTCAGACACACCAGGCTGGACTCCAACAGTTAAAAAAATAGGACAGGTTTAATACTTAAGCTGCTGAGACGTTACAGAGGCATCTTGGGGCGGGGTCCCGGGGCCCCCAGATGCTAAGCCGTGAGTGTGGCCTCCACTCTCGTATGTACAGGTGTCCCCAGAAGGAAGTGGTCGAGCAGCGCCCGGCCAGGGGTGGCGTGTGGGTCCCTGTGGTCCAGGTCCGGGCCCCTCGTCCCCCGGGCCTGCCTACGTGCGGTTCAGGATGGAGTTCTGGATGTCCTCCAGGACCTGGTGGAAAAGCTCCTCACGGGGCCGCGTGCCGTCCAGGTACACTGAAACCAGAGAGGCCGTGGTCGGGGCGACACTCTGGGCCGCGGGACTGCCGCCAGGAGGCAGGTGGCCTGCAGAGCCCGGGACGGGACGGCCTCTGGGGCCGGGGTGAGAGGGACTGGCGGTGGAATTCGAGGAGGGACTTCAGGGGTTCCCGACGGGGCCTGCCGGGGGGCGGGGCCCAGGGGCCCCCGGGACCAGGCCTCGCCCTCTCAGGGGCTCACCCACGTCCACGCCGTCGGCCTCCATCTGCCGCTTGTACTTCAGGTACATGGGCCACACATGGCCGTCGAAGAGGCCTGGAGGATCGGGGACCATGTAGCTGCGAGTACTGGGGAGGGACATGGGCGACAATGAGTGACACTCATGTCATCCAGGGCTGGCGCCATGAGCAGAGGCCAGGGGACGTGGACGAGGTCAGAGGTCGGGGATAGCACCACCGAGCCAGGGACCCCAGGCTAGGGTTCGGGTGCCTCAGCTTTTGGCATTTTCACCCCCGGGCTTGGGAGATGCCCAGGGTAGGTCATGGGTGGGCCAGGCCTCCGGGTCCCGGTCAGCCAAGTGCCTGCTGGCTGCCAGGGTGGCTTGCGTCCAGCGGGCAGCATCAGTTTCCTGGGCCCAGCTGGGATTTCAGTCAGGGCCCTGAGGCTCACCTTCTCCTCTGCTTGCACTCCTCGTAGGGAATGGTCAGGAAGTACCGTCGGCTGTACAAGTCCACCAGGGGCCTGGCGGGGTGGGGGACACGGTCAGAACCACGGGCCGGCCTTTACTGGGAGCCACGGTCCACAGCCCCCGGGGTCCAGCGACTTTCCAGCGTGCTGAGGGAGGGGGTGGGGGTGGGGGTCTGGGAGGGGCCAGCCTCTTGCTGAGCTTCTAGAAGGAGGACTCAGTTCCCCAAGAAGCAGGGATGTTTGCCCAGACCCTTGAGCTGAGTCCAGCTCTGCCCTCGAGTCCCGAATGGAGACTCGGTGACCCCTGGGAGGTGGGCTGGTCAGGGATCACCCTCAGACACGCACTTGTAGCTATATAGCAGGAAGCCTTCCAGAATGAGGATGTGGGTGTCCGAGGTGTCCGGCTGGACGCTGACGCCGTGAGCGCGGGCGAACTTCTGGGGGTTGCTCGCCCAGGCCTGCACGGTGCTCAGCATGGCCTCCATGTCCAGGGACTCCAGCACTGGGGACGGGGAGAGCGGGCGTCGGCGGGGCCGTGGACGGGGGGCAGTCCGGGCAGGGGGCGCGGGGCCGCCAGCCGTTCTTACCATCCCACTGCTTGAAGCCGTCCTCCCCAACTGGGATTTGGTCTTGGGGCTGAAACAGAGGAGCCCAAACCCCAGGCTCAGCGCCCACCTTTCCACCTGTCCACCACTCTGGGGTGACAGAGCCTCGGTGGACCCCTCAGCGCCTGGAGGGCCCACAGTGAGGATCCCGGGGCCGGCATCGGTCCAATGGAGGACAGGTGTCCTGCGAGGACGTGCCAGACGCATAGTAGGCGCTTAGGAAGTGAAACGCCCGTCCCTCGCTCCCCTGGCCCAGCGTGACCTGTGCCCGGCCCGGCAGGGCAGTGGGCAGCAGAGGGCAGGGTGGCCCGGGCCAGCACCACTCCCCCGACCCCCGGGCGAGGGCAGCCACCTTGAAAAAGTCATCCTGGTGGATCACACAGCAGTTGGGCAGCGCGTTGAGGAGGCTGTTGGTCAGTGTGGTCTTGCCACCGTTGGTCATGCTGTGGAGGCAGTGGACACGTGAGGGGCCCCCCGGAATCGGACTCGAATGTGAAGCACAGAGCCAGAAACCGTGGCGCTGAGAGGCTGATGTTGTTGGCCGAGGGCCAGAGGGGGCTCACTCAGCGTCACTGCAAACCCAGGAGGTGCGGCCGGGAGCCCAGTTTTACAGACCAGGAGGCTGAGACCTGAGCGAGATTCAGCCGCATTGGGCTTTCTTTCTTTTTATTTTTTAAGGTCAAAATGTTAAAACAAGTGCAAACTGGGCGGGGGGTGGGGGGGAGCGGTATATCTGCAATAGAAAACCAAGCAGTTCATTTTAAAAGTGAAAGAGGCAATTGACTTTATGAAACAGTTGCAACCAAGAAAAGACAAAGAGAGAAAAAGAAAAAAAAAAAAAACAACAATTGGCAAAATAGGGCCGCCAGCTTGCCCTGGTTTGCCGAGGGTGTCTCTGCGTTTAGCACGGAAAAAGTCCCAAATCCTGGGGACCCTCCAGTGCCTGGGAAACTAGGACGGGAGGTCAGCCTGTGGCAGAGGGAACAACGCCCTGGACTCCTGGAGCCGAGGAAGGACACAGCAGGGTGACCGTCAGACCTTCCTTGGAATGAGTGTCCCTCTGACCTTTTGTCCCTGCTCTAGGAATCAGGTGGAACGCTCGATGTGGAACACGGGGTCGCTGCCACGGATCGAAAGGGCCTACGGGAAGGGCCCCTTCTATTAAGGGCGGCAGGTTATGGCACCCCCGACGTTCATTTGGATGGTCACTAAAAGGCACGCCTCGTGCCCGGCGTGGCTACAGAATTTGCCCGGCCCTCCTCAGAATACACTAGGAATTCCACTTGGGTGATAGCAGTCTTAAACCAAGTTGGGGGCAGGGCCCGGGCCCGCCCCCCAACACTGGGTGGGATGTTCTGGTTCCCAAGCCTGACCCGCTTAGGCGAAATGCCTCCCCAGCATCAGTTTAAAAGGCCCGGTGGCGGGTAATGAAATAGAGACTCTGGATCCCTGGACAAGGGAGGCCCCTGCCTGGCGGGAGCTATAGAGGCCACAGGGAACGTCACTCTGGGGGCTCCGCCCAAGCGGGCACGTGTCTGTCTGGGGTGGGTAGGGTGTCCCCCGCCCCCAAGGAGGGCCCAGGCCGGTTAGGAAGGTCTTCCTGAGCTTTACAAAGTCTCCTGTCCCCACTGATTTTTGGTTTTATACCGAGTATGGTGGGGAAAAGTGACTTTCATTTGAAAATTGAAGATCGGGCCCCGCGCCCATCTCGCCTCCAAGGGCAGAGGCCCCGCCCCGCACTCAGACCTCGGGCAGGGGGCTCTGCCACCCCAGGCAGCCCGTGATTCATTCCACGCCTCCCCCGCGCCTGTGCCCCGGCGGGGTCGCCCCTAGGCGTCGGGGCAGCTCACCCTCCGATGCCCACGATGTACTTCATCTCCACGAGGAGGGGCGGCGGGGACCGCGCTGGGCCTGCAGACTCCTGGGCACCGGGCTGGGTCGGACCCCGCAGTGCGCTGTGTCCCAGCTTCATTGAGAAAACCTGGCGCCTTTATAGGCCCGGGCAGCCCGGAGGCCGCCCCGGGGGAGGCGGCCTGTGGCCTATGGGCAGTGCGGCCAGCAGGGTGGGGGCGAGGGGACCCAGCACCTGTTCCCGCCAGATGGAAATAGCTCCACGCTGCCTTTTGCCTAAATTAGTCACGGGCCAGCGGGGCGGGAGTGGTAGATGTCACCCCGGCTGCCTCCTTTCTTCTCCTCCTCCGACCCCACACCCCCTCCTCGCTCCTCTCCGCGGGGCAGATAACACCCCGGCCACACATCTCACCTCCCTAAAAATATCCTGCCCAGTGTGTCCCCTGGCCTGACCCTGACATTAAGACTGGTTCCAATGGCACCCAGGAAAGGGAACTCACCGGCCCCACCTCCCAACGGCAAGAACGTCCCTTCCCAAGGGGGTTGTGGCCCAGATGGGCTTAAAGGCCAAGAAGTAGTGCCAAGAGGGCTGGGCTCTGGTGACATGGGCCCGGCCAGAAGATTGTGGTGTGACACCAGGAGCCCTTCCCTGAGTGCCGCGTGAGGCCTGGAGGAGTCACTGGGGTGGGCCTCGTGCCTCTCAGCAGCCTCGGGCGAGGCAGGGCTGGGGCGTGACCCTGCTGATCCCTGGGGGCTGAGGGACACACTCGCCCAAGGTCAAATGGCTGCTGGTGGATGGAGCTGGGACGCACATGGCACCGAAGGCTCCGCCAGACCCTATGAGGGAAGCAGCCCCCACTGTCCTGTGTGACTCCGGCTGAGCCGTGTGACTGCTCCGTGCCTCAGTTTCCCCTCGGTAACATGGGTCTAGGCTAGTGGGACACGGGCTATTATTATTGTCATCGTTATTTTTGTGATCTTGTGATTCACAATCTATGCATATTTGGTCTCAATCCCAGGTCCTGGCACAGAGCTCCTAAAACCCTTGTAATTTTCTAAGTGATGAGACAGGATATCTTTTGGTATAATATTTGGACTTTTGTCCTTGGTTCCTGAAATAGAGCCAGAGAGGTAAAGATGAAAGCAGTGTCTCTTGCTATTTGTGACAAGCCCTTTTAACTGCACCTGAGTTTATGCCAATAGGGTGACATTGGAAAGGCCCTGGAACCATGGGATGGGGGCTGGTGGCCAGGGGAACCAGCCGGGGTTACAGGATGGAGCTTTCAAGGAAGAGGAGCTGGCGATTGCGTCAGTCACCAAAGGCTGACAATTTAACCAGTCACGTCTCTGTGATGAAGCCCCTGCAAAACCCCTAAATAAGGGGGCTCCAGCGCTTCAGGGTGGGTGAGCACACCCATGTGCTGGGGGTGGGGGGCGGTGCCCGGAGCGGGCAGAAGCTCCGTGCCCCTTCCCCACACCCTGCCCTACACGTTTCTTCCGTCTGGCTGTCCCTGAATTATGTCCTTTCACGATAAACTGGCAATCCAGTAAGTAAACTACTTTCCTGAGTCCTATGAGCGCTGTAGCAGACTGTCGAACCTGAGGCGGGGGGTTGGAAAACCCTGATTTGTAGCCAAGTGGGACAGAAGTGTGGGTATCTTGGGGACCCACTGCTTTTGACCAGTGTCTGATGTGGGGACAATCTCGTGGGGCTGAGCCCTTCATCTGTGAGGTGGCACTAACCCCGGGTGATGTGATAATTGAGTTAAATTGTAGGACACCCCGCTGGTGTCTGCCCAGAACTGGGGAACTGCGTGTTGTGGGAAAAAGTCCCCCACATCCGGTATCAGAAGCGTTGGTGTGAGTGTAGAGAGGGGACATAGTTTTCTCTTTCAGTAGTAGTAATAATAATGATAGTAATATATTTATAACAATGCCATAATTTATATATAAATATGTATTAATATAATTATTATTAGCTGCTGACTCGGTTTGACTCCAGAAGGGGTTGGGGGCAGAAAATGAACTTGAATCACGTGGAGGCAGAGTCGGAAGGGGCCTTGGGAATCACCTCGCAGGCACCCCACTCTACAGATGAGAGACGGAAGCAAGCGAAGACAGGCGATGGCCCAAGGTCATCCAAGGTCACAGAGGCGTTGAGCTGTGCCCCTTCTCGCCCCGTTAAAGCCCTTTGTTCTGAACCTCGCCCACGACCAGCAGGCATCACAGCCCTCAGAAAGGCACAAACGTAACGACCCTCTGTGCTCGGTTATAGTTTATTTCACATAAAAATACCCCCAGGTTCATGGAAACAATGTCTTCACATTACACCAGTAATCATGATGGATTGTTTTTGTCCTTAAAAATCGCACGCCTTGCTGTTGGAAGGATGAGCCTGTGAATTGTGACTTTGGGCTGGACTCATGACCCCCCACGTCATGAGATGAAAACCCAACATCCCTTTACAACCAGGGCTTGGGGTCCATTGTGTTTTGGCTCGAACTGTCTGCCCCACATGCTAACCTTTCTCAAAGCCAAGTTTGGAGGGTGCAGGTAGCAGCCCATCCGGACACGGTGGCCTTGCGGCGAAACGTCTGACACTTATGACAGGTGCCTGGCCCGGAGACAGCCTCCCCAGGGGTCTCTCTTTGTTTTGGGAGGGTGCTGTGGCTGAGTCGGGGTCCCTGGTTCCGCTTGCCCAGGTGTCTGTGCTGCTGGTGGTCCGGGGGGCGGCCTCAGTGAACCTGCTGGAATTTCTTGTGCGGCCAGAATCTTTAGCCTGCAGGGTTTGGATGGGGTCTGTCCCTTTGTCGTCTGTCACTTCTGCAGGCACTCGTAATTGTCAGATTGAGTAGAATGAATCGGTTCCTATCTCATCCCTGGCTCCTTTTCACTGGCCTGTTGGAGATGCTGCGTCCACCGGGTGGGAGCTGGGAGCTCTCAGGATCCTGTGTCGTCTCAGATGAGCAGAGCTGGCCACCAAGACCTAGGGTTTAGAGGCGGGGCTTGAGGGAGCTTCTGGAGGGAAGCCCAGAGAGGCCCGTCCACCAACCTCTGCTGCCTCAGGCTCCAGGTGACTCGCCGGGGCCTGGAACAGGGTCCACGTCTTTTATTTGACATTTAGGAAACAGAGCAGAACGTCAAATTAAAAACCCCCACTGGGCCCCCAAAGTCCGGTCCTCGGGGGGGGGCAGAGCTGGGTCCCAGAAGATGCAGGCACAAAGCCGCTCAGAAACCCGGCGTTTTTCCAGGCGGGAGCCCCCGGGATTGGGGTCAGTGATGTGCAGGACCCGCCCCTCGGCAAAGCACTGGGCATCTGTTTCAGCACTAAACTCCACCAGCTCCTTCCTGTTGTGGGGATAGCTACAAATGCGCCCCCTTGCCGTCCCAGGTCCAGAAGCATTTGACATTTCTGCCGAGGCCAAGACCCTCACATTCGAAAACTGTGGGATGTGTCACGGAGAAGCTGGCTACAGGACCAGCAGCGGGGCCTAGAGCGGAGGCCCCTCAACTTTTGTTCATGTCCATAGAAACAGAGACTCTTAGGACTGGAGGGGACACAGAGGACCACTTTCTGTAAGCACCGTCCGGCCTTTTCTTAAATACCTCTGGAGACGGGGAACTCACTACCTGTAGAAGCCACCTGACTGGTGTTTGGGCCGCATTAGAAAAGCCTGTCTTTCGTCCAAGGGAAATTTGCCTCCTCCGAACGCAGGTGGCTGTAGCATCCAGTCCTCTGGGGCGTATTTTCCCGGGTGACCTCTGAAACACGCAGACACACGTCCGACACCCTGCATCTCCCTTTTCTTTGCTCTGTGTTTCTGGGATGAACCTGTTTCAGAGCTGGCTTCTTAGTCTCTGCTCTTGGTGGGAGCCCCAGTCCCGTGTTGGGGGGATCAGAGAAGTGGGAGCAGCTCACTTCCTTAGTAGGAGGTGCTGATGGGATTGCCCTGTGGCGTGGCATCCGCGTCCAGGGGACTTGAGAATGTTCTAGATCGAGGGGGGGAGGTGTGGTTTTGTGACGGAAGGATGGAGATGATAGTGGCAGCTCTTGCTTGTGCTGTGGGCTCTGATACTCCAGAAGGAGGTGGGTGTCACCAGAGATGAAGGGGCCAGTTGGAGGAAAAGTCATGGGGCCAAAGGTGCCCAGGGCGCGTCCCCGCCGGGGGCACTGAGCTTCCCGGCCATATGCGCAGGGTTGTGGGGCCGTTCTGGGCGGAAAGGCACAAGAATGAATTCCAGACCCGGCCGGGAGGCCGGTGGGCATCTGTGGCTCCAACCCGGGCCAGGCGACAAGCAAGAGAAAGGTCTTAAATCGGAACTTAGGGCAGAGGGAGGGGGCTCTGAGGCCTCCAAAGACACATGGCCCACGCCCTGTGCTTCTCTTCCCTCCTGGCTGTGAGGTTGGGAACGTGGGAAGATGGAGGGCTGAGAACCAGGTCCTCATCCAGAACGCACGGCTATTGCATTGTTAAAAAAAAAAAGGTTTTCGAGCGGCCCAAAAGGATGCTGGGTTTCAGAGATGAGAGGAGGGGGCAGGACCCCTCTGAAGACTGGGATTTGGGACGAGGCGGGGATGGGATCCAGGGCCAGAGGGCATCCGATAGAGGCTTCTCGGCATCTGGAATTTTCTTTTGTGGTCTTCGCTGTACGCTCATCACCTCAGGACATGCTGGAGAGGGAAAAACACAGGCCTAGTTATTAATATTGTTTTTAAAGAAAGTGGAAAATGCTATTTCATGTGTGTGGAATCTAAAAGAAGGATCTAATCCGGCTTTGGTGCGCCCTCAGAAGCAAAGCAGCACCTGCCCTTCACGGTCTGCCACCTGCTACCCAGCTTGGTGACGTGGTTCTGAAGGGGATGCTCTCGGTACCCCAGCAGAACAGACCTCGGGGCTGGTGCCTTCAGTGAGACTGAGGGAAGCTTCAAGCCATCCACATCCCCATGTATCCATCCATCCATCCATCCATCCATCCATCCATCCATCCATCCACCCATCCACCCATCCATCCATCCACCCATCC